ATACATTGACTTGCCTAATTACTCTGATTAAGCCCTTGAGATGCACTTTAATCTGAATGCTTGTATTTTGAAAAATATCTAGTAAAATATTATGCACTGTCATCATAGCAAAGATAAAATGAAACAGAAATTGGGCAGGAAAAGGGCTGCTAATATTCAGGAGGGCAAATAATTCTGACTTCAACTGTATATATAGTTATTTTCCACCAAACAAACAAACAAACTGTGCTTTAAGCATCTTCACTGTAAGAAAAACACTTTAGCTACAAAAATCCTCCAGTCAAGAGCAGTGAGGGATTTTCTCCTTGTTGTTTGATTAATGATAAAAACAGGCGGCAGCAGGAACATCGCGTCTCTTTAATGGTTTCTCTTTCACGTGTCTTTTGATCCTCAACTCGTTTGTTTATTACACAAATGAGGGTTAATATGAATAATCACTAAACACCGTGTTTTGACACCTATTTAATCATTAAAGCGCTCACGTTAAGATGACTTTAGATGTCTGCGCTCCTCTGCTCGTCTCAGTGTGCGAATGAGACCGAATGCTGCCCGGCCGAATGCTTCTGACTTTGTGCGCGTGCAGCACACACACATAAGCACACGGTCTTTCGCGCTTTTAAGAGCAACAAATGTGTACAGCTGTAAAGGGGGCGGTATATGATGCAATAATCGTTTACGTTTGTTTTGCTTTACAGTTGTTCTAAAAGTTTTAAAACTGTGTGTATAAATCTGCCAACATAGTATTATTATAAGACATATTTAAATAAGTGTATCGCTCGCGTGCACACAGCCCGCTTACCTTACAGTCTATGACCTTAACAGATGAGGCGTGAGGAACAAGTCTATCAAATGCCATGCAAGTTCCATCATGGACACAGAGCAACATTCAATATTCTTTTTTGTCACGAAGTACAGTAAAAAGCAGCCCATACAGTCACATCTGCTCTACATTTTATAGAGGAGTGTAAACATTGCAGTTATGACCGAGTGTTCAGATGAAGAAAAAAAGACGTAAAATCACTTGATTATGTGAAAATGACAGTTAACATGCATGTATTTTACACATTTATTCACACGTTTGCATGACTGAGAGCAGGACAGAGACAGGGTGCACTGGTGAGCATTATCTTCATAATATTGTTCAATTAAAATAAAAGATCAACAAATGAATCTGTCTCGACAGCCTTTACATGTGAAGGAATTATCTACACACAATCTGAATTCCCAATTAGAGAAATACTACAAACTATAAAATACTATTCATGAAAATACCTAAATAACAGACAAATCCAAATGCCCAACACAAGCGAGCTGCGCTCCAGACCAGATCAGCTCGATGACGTATAATGTCCCCGACACCGCCTGTAGTCCCATTTAGCAACTTGATAGCAACCGTCTTATTAAAGAAGCATAACCGATTTAAAACATCAAGAGTGTGCTGTAACTGATGTGTTTTATGTCGTAGAACAAAACGTGAAAGTATCTTGAGTTCGTGTCAGCCACAAACCTTATTTAAGCGATTTTACTGAAACCCCATTGAAAAAAATTCAATTCAATTCAGCTTTATTTGTATAGCGCTTTTACAATGTAGATTGTGTCAAAGCAGATTCACATAAATGGTCACAGTAACTGGAACAGTGTGGTTCAGGTTTTAGTGTTTAAGTTCAGTTCAGTTTAGCTCAGTTCAGTGTGATTTAATCATTACTGAGAGTTCAAACACTGAAGAGCAAATTCATCGATGCGTAGCTCTACCAATCCTGAACCATGCGAGGCAGTGGCGACAGCGGAGAGGGAAAAAAAACTTCACCTGATGGGAGTGAAGAAAAAAAACCTTGAGAGAACCAGACTCAGTTGGGCACGACCATTTTAATTTCCCTGCTGGCCAAAAGTCTTGTGCAGAGCTTCATTCGCCGTGGTTTAGGCAGGAAGATGGCCTCAGCGAAGACTCGTCTGTCCCTGGAGCGTCGCTGGAATCAGACTCATGATCTCCACTCCCCATGACCATCAGCGCAGCAGCAGCTCAGGATATGGCCTGGTCCCGGATATGGAATCCTTGGGATCATCTCGTCGCTGGTCTTGGATCCAATCAGTGACTCCGCATAATCTGAGGACCTCTGGATGAGTATCCCCAGGTGAAAATAGAGAATAAAGAAAATAATTAGCGTAGCTGCTGTTCATCGTGTATATAAGCAAGATGCAGAAGCCTGTGTGGAACCCGCTAGGTGATGCATTGAGTGTATGCTTTACTAAACAGATAGGTCTTTAATCTAGTTTTGAACTGGGAGAGTGTGTCTGAGCCTCGGACGTTATCAGGAAGGCTATTCCAGAGTGTAGGAGCCATGAAAGAGAAGGCTCGACCTCCTTTACTTGATTTTGCTATTCTAGGTACTACCAGAAGCCCTGAGTTTTGAGATCGTAAAGAGCGAGTTGGTTTGTAGCGAGACAGAAGGTTGGTTAGATAAACAGGAGCTAGATTATTTAAAGCTTTATAGGTGAGAAGTAATATTTTAAATTCAATACGAAACTTAACAGGCAGCCAGTGTAAGGAGGATAAAATTGGGGTGATATGATCATATTTTCTAGACCTGGTCAGAACTCTAGCTGCTGCATTTTGTACCAATTGAAGTTTGTTAATAGAGGATGCTGGGCAGCCAGCAAATAGAGCATTACAGTAATCCAGTCTCGAAGTCATAAAAGCATGGACTAGCTTTTCTGCATCTGAGATGGATAGCATATTTCGTAATTTAGCGATATTTCTCAGATGAAAGAAGGCAGTTTTTGTGAAAAACTCATTGACTTTGAGACGAGGGAACCGGAACTGCTAAAATGCTAACTCGCCTCCGGGTTTTTGCATACAAATTGACGTCATAGTTCCTCCACTCTATTGTTGGAGGATGAAGTCCTTGTCAAACAGACCAGGGCTCAGTGGTTAGCACTGTCACCTCACAGCAAGAAGCTGCCGGCTGAACCAGTTGGCATTTCTTTGTGGAGTTTGCATGTTTTCCTCATGTTTGTGTGGGTTTTCTCCAGTTTCCTCCACAGTCCAGACAGGCAGACACTAGCAGTATAAGTGAACTGAATAAACTAAATTGGCCGTGTTGAATAATCGTCTGTGTGTGTGTGTGAATGAGAGAGTGTATGGGTGTTTCCCAGCATAGTGCTGGGTTGCGGCTGGAAGGGAAGCATTTTGACACTGCATTAGTGCTAGAAATTCCATCACATGTACGCTTTTACATCAAACACATTCAGCTCAGTGACGTTCAATCCAGCTAATCTTATGTTAATGTTAAATCTACAAACGTTGCCAGTTTTTGTTCCTGAATGATTTGAAATGCACAGTAATCAGCAGTAATCAGCCTTTAAAAAATAGAAGAAATACTTATTTTTGACAAATGTGACTTTATTTCAAACTTTAGTACACAAATTGGTAATTGTCATCAGTCGTGAGGTTTGTCGCCCCAGACTAATGTCAGTTTTTGTCCGTGTTCAGCTCAGCACCACCTTCAAGATGGGCAGTTTCCAGTGGCACCACGTGGAGGAACGGACTTCGCCACCTATATATACAGGGTTTGGATTATCACTCACCATAAACTACAACTACACACAAAATCACTAGTCAATAATGTCCTCCAACTAGAAATCATATACCACATTAGCAAAACATTAGACTGAAGAAGGTTGTATATGAGGACGATATTAAAGCAAATACTAAACGGAGTAACTTTAATTCTCTTCAGAACTCAAATGAAGATATCTGAATGAACATAATGAAGATATTTGAGTCAAATCTGAGAGCTCCTTAATCCTTCATAGACAGCAAGATTCCTGACTATGAGAATACTTTTATGTGCACATAAAACAACATTAACTATTCAACAGTTTCTTCCCTCAGTGTCAGTATAGGGCACGCGTTCACGTGTCGCGCCTCTGACATATAACCTTGGATGTGCCTGGGTATTTTTTTAAGAGAGGAAGTCAGAGAGGAAGTCGCGCAGGCATCCCGTGGGGTATATGTCACTGCACAGTGCTTGTGAACGCGTGCCCTATAATCACACTGAGGAGAAGAAACTGTGAATAGAAATGTTTGTTTTATGTGAAGGCATATGATCTGTTTTGAGGAGTTTTTTGTAGACTTTGAGTCTGGATAAGGGAGCTCTAAGATAAAGATAAAAATTGTAAAAATGGTTCTGAAGATGAACATGAGGATGAGTAATGAATTACATAACTTACTTTTTTTTTTTTTTTTTTAGAAGAGGAATTTCTGATTGGTCAATAACATGGCCAGTTATAAATTTCTACTTCAATATGGGTAGTTTTTATTGTTTTATTAATGATGTTTGCTTTTTATTGTTTTATTTTATTTTTATAAAAATAATTACAGTTTTAATTTAATAATATTTTTTTTTACTTTTATAAATATATATATATATATATATATATATATATATATATATATATATATATATATATATATATATATATATTTTTTTTTTTTTTTTTTTTTTTTTTTTTCTAGTTTTATGGTCAAATTGGCTGGTGAGTGATAATGTTCATTGCAAACCCTGTATATATATCAGTTGATCCCAGTAACCATTGGTCAGGAGTCTCTCTCCTCTGGCTTGAATGACATATTTTAGAGAGAGACACCCAAAATATGTGGACCTGGACTGGGAACGACTGAAATATATATATTTTTTTAATTTTTTAATTTTATTTTAGCATGTGGAAGTGCAAGAGTTAAAGCAAAATCTGATATTAAAGGAAGGGATGTGTACACTATATAAATGTCTAAACTGTTAAGTGCTTTATCTTTTTTTTTTTTTTCTTTAATTAGAGCCAGTGTAAATGTTGAAAAATAGGAGAGATTTAACAATGCAGAACCAAATTATGTTCAGCTTGCTCTCTCTAAGGTTGTAATGGATGAAGTTATGTTTAGCTAAAGGACTATGGTGGCACGTATGGACTGGCTAGATCCACCCATTAAAAAAGGACATCTCTCCTCATTGCGGCTTGTTCTCCGCCTGAAACAAAAACAGTGATCAGGTTTACAGCTTTAATGCATTCAACAAACAACATATAATAAAAAGAAAAGCCATAAATATCAAGGACATTTAAAAACACAAGACTGTTGTCTGACAATAGCTGGGTTTCCATCAGCCTGTGTTAATGCACCTTTTTAAGTATCACATGAGAAACAGGTTTCAAATAAAAATTCCTTAATTCCCAAGACGTTTTTATGCTCACTTGAGGTCATTTTGGACTCTTTTGAAAAAGGGTTCATGATAGAAATGCATTCGTCAAATTAACTTTGATGTAGCGAATATTTCTCGATTATACTTCCCTTGTATACTGTTGGTTATGCGTTTACCAATTCCACAGTTCAGCTGCTCGACCAACTTAATGTATATCATTTGCACATAATCCACATTTATAATTACAATATAAATATATATATATATATATATATATATATATATATATATATATAGTGAACATTGAAAAGGTGTGCTTCACATTAGGATGGAAACTCAGCTCATGACAGATTAACTTGATTGACAAAATCCTCAAAATGTATTCATTACCTTAAACCAGTCATGGATACGGAGTGTTTCCAGCTTAGGCCGAAGATTATAGTTAGTCTGCAGACAACAGATAATGAATTCACGGCATTCTGTGTAGAAAAAAAGGAAGAGATGCATGTAATTATTGCCTTAAATCGTAAACTTTTCATTGACATTCAAATTGTCCTACACAGCCATCTTTAGCTGAAGTGAAGATCTCACCTTTTGACCATCCATATTGCTCTAAATTTGTGAAGGTCAAGTTTTGGAGGTCATGGTAGTCTGGATATTTTTTGAACATTAGAAAATACTGAAGAATCCCGAGTGACCACACTGTCGCTGGCTCCCCGTAGTATAAGCCAGTGCTATTAAACTCGGGAGGGACGAACTGTGGTGTGCCTGAAAGAAAGAGATTTTGTTTCCATTAGCACATCATCTAAATTTCCATGCAAAAATGTAAACAACAGTGCAGATCAGGGCTGCCCAAACCCAGTTCTGGAGGAGCTGTGTCCTGCAGAGTTCAGCTCCAGCCTCAGTTAGACACAACTGAACGAGCTAATCAAGCTCTAAGTATACTAGACATTTACTGTCAGGTGTGTTGAAGCAAGTTGGAGCTAAACTCCGTAGGCCACCGGCCCTCTAGGACTGAGCTTTGGCACCCCTGGTATAGATAAACAACAGCAGATGTTTCAAGAGTCTCATGTGAATGACCCTTGCCCCATCACAAGAGCTCCTTAGAGCTTTGAAGGATTCACTTACCGCTGTACTCTTTGTAACAGCTCCTAGTAAAGCGTTCACCACACCCAAAGTCAGTCAGTTTGACTTGATGGGTCCGCAGGTTAATCAGCAAATTCTCAGCCTTGATATCGCGGTGAAGCACTCCACGTTTGCAGCAGATGTCAGCTGCAATTGTTGTGTGCAACATGATTTTCCATAATATCTTCTCTTCGATTCTACCGTCTAATTTACATAGAAATTGCCTTAAGTTCACACAGGGTACGGGCCGCTCTAGGACTAGAAAGTAACGATCAGCCTCCACTTTCCAGTCCAGAAGCTTAACAATTTGTTTAGCCTTGGGGCCTTTGGTGGCAAGATAGTGCAGAGCGATCTCCGATGGAAGTGGCTGGAGAAAATCATCCTAGAAGAAAGAAAGTTGTTCAGATCATTTGATGGGAAAGTTATTTCCTGTTAAAGCTGTCGGCCACATCTATCATAAAAAGCAGTGGGCAGATTATAGAGATCAAAACAAAGACAGACACATTTCTTTTTAAAGGAGAATAACTGGCTTTTGTTTACTTGGCATGTTTCTAAAATATCTGCAAACATATTATGGTATTTTTGTGCTTTAGAAGAGTCAAAAACTTCCATACAGCACCTTTAATATGATGAGTTAATCAGAGCAAAGAGCGCAGACTACTTACAACTTGGATGAATTCCTTATCCTTGAAGTCAGCAATTTTTACTGCCACCGGAAGGTTATCTCCTAAACGGGTCCCAGCGTAAACGGTTCCAAAGGCTCCTTTGCCCAGCTTAGCGCTAATTTCATAGATCTTGAAGTTGATCTCTGTGAAAAGACAAAGAAGAGAAGTTAATCAAATGTGGAAATTAGTGACAGTGCTGCCTTCATCTAAAACTACCTGCTCCATCAGGGGTCACCACAGCAGATATAACCCCATCATCTGAACCTTTTTATTCTGTCTTCCCTATATGATTATGATGTTTATGATTGATTTATATATATTTATACAGTTGAAGTCAAAATTATTAGCCCCCTTGAATTATTAGCCCCTCTGTTTATTTTTCCCCCAATTTCTGTTTAACGGAGAGCAGATTTTTTCAGCACATTTCTAAACATAATAGTTTTAATAACTCATCTCTAATAACTGATTTATTTTATCTTTGTCATGATGACACTAAAAAAATTTGACTAGGCATATTAAAGACACTTCTATACAGCTTAAAGTGACATTTATTGTTTTACTAGGTTAATTAGGTTAACTAGGCAGGTTAGGGTAATTAGGCAAGTTATTGTATAATGATGGTTTGTTCTGTAGACTATGGAAAAAATATATAGCTTAAAGGGGCTAATAATTTTGTCCCTAAAATGGCTTTTAAAAAATTAAAAACTGCTTTTGTTCTAGCCGAAATAAAACAAATAAGACTTTTTCCAGAAGAAAAAATATTATCAGACATACTGTGAAAATTTCCATGCTCTGTTAAACATCATTTGGGAAATATTTAAACAAGAAAAAATAATTTAAAGGGGGGCGAATAATTCTGACTTCAACTGTATATATATTTCTATCTTAGTTATCAGCTACCCCTGAACAAAATGTGTATTAAAGCCAGTTTAAAGCATAAAAGTCATGAAAACACTATTAAAATAGGCATGTGTGTTGAGTGACTGGGCTGTAAACTTACCCATGATTTCTGTGTTTCTGAACTTCAGCTGTTTTGGCTGATGTCGAACAGCGCCCTTCGTCTGACAGGTTGCACCTTTAGCGACAGCTTTACAGCCGGGCTTAGCAGGGACAACTTTTGTTGGGGGGTGATGACTACAGCCGGGCTTAGCAGGGACCACTTTTGTTGGGGGGTGATGACTACAGCCGGGCTGAGCAGGGACCACTTTTGTTGGGGGGTGATGACTACAGCCGGGCTGAGCAGGGACCACTTTTGTTGGGGGGTGATAACTACAGCCGGGCTGAGCAGGGACCACCTTTGGAGGGTCATCATGACTACAGCCGGGCTTTGCAGAGACCACCTTTGGAGGGTCATCATGACTACAGCCAGACTCAGCAGAGACCACATTTGGAGGGGGGTCATCACCACAGCCGGACTCAGCGGACAGAAAATCTGTAGAGGGGTCATCACCACAGCCGGACTCAGCGGACAGAAAGTCTGTAGAGTGGTCATCACCACAGCCGGACTCAGCCGACAGAAAATCTGTCGAGTGGTCATCACCACAGCCGGACTCAGCCGACAGAAAATCTGTCGAGTGGTCATCACCACAGCCGGACTCAGCAGAGAAGAAGCTGCTGTAGGAGCTGGCTGTGAGCTCACTACTACAGTTGTATCCGGCTGAGTAAAACTCTTGAGGGAGGTCATCACTACTGCTGGACTCAGCGTAGAAAATGTTTGGAGGAACATCATCACTGCTGGAGAAGCTGGCTAAGTCCTCACTGTGACCATCGACAGGCTCGACCAGTGATGGTTCTTCACCGTGAACACTGTCAGGCTCTACCAGTGATGGTTCTTCACCGTGAACACTGTCAGGCTCTACCAGTGTTAATTCTTCACCGTGAACACTGTCAGGCTCTACCAGTGTTAATTCTTCACCGTGAACACTGTCAGGCTCTACCAGTGATGGTTCTTCACCGTGAACACTGACAGGCTCTACCAGTGATGGTTCTTCACCGTGAACACTGACAGGCTCTACCAGTGATGGTTCTTCACTCTGATCATCAACAGGTTCCTCCAGTGACGGTTCCTCAGTCTGAACATTGATCTGTTCCTCCAGATGCAAAGATGAATCTTCACACCAGTCACCGATTTCTCGACCTAAAGGAAGGAATAACATGAAACAAAAGATTTTAGTTTTACTTGAATAATATTTATCCAGTGTTTATTATTGGTATGAAGAAAACGCTGTCAATTATGACGTGACTTTTAAGGTTATTTCTTTCTACTTTTAGTTGTTGGTTAGTGTGTACACATGCAGGGATGTTTTTGCTGTGACTAACATAGTGATTTTAATTAATTTGCTGAATGTATAATCAGGTCATCCAATTATTTATTGTCAAGTTCATAGTTAGATACTGGATATTAGACATCTAGATATTGAGATCTTTCTTTCAGATATTAAATTAGGTCGGCCTATTATGCCATTAAATAAAAAATGTCACATGATGAAATTACTGTTCAAATCAATTTCACTTTGCAATTAATGATTTGTTTTGTATAAATGCATGTCAATATGACCTTATAGCTGATATATTTTGTATCATATAACAATAAATAAAGTAACCTTGAGCTTGGCAAAAACAACTAAAACCTATGAGAAAAGATTTCCTGTTTTCCACTACAAATACCATTAAAACATTAAACATCACCATTGAAAGCCACTGCATTGTGTGTTAGGACGTATTCCTAAAGGATTTAGTGCTTTTAAGATGCCAGTAGAAGACAGCAAATTACAAGTAGAGACAAGGGATCTAACAGGGGTGTCGAACTCAAATCACATTGGGGGTTTTCATATTTTATTTATTAATTTTGTATGGCAGTAGACAATATTTCTGTTCCTTTTAATAACACAAATTAAGATGTTTTAGGTGAAATCTTAAAGCTCCTTCATCCTCCATAGATAGCAAGGGTCCAGACTCATTCAAAGGCCAGAAAGTACCAAAAAAAACAGGGGAAGCCATGCACAGGCATCCAGGGGTGCATGTAATATACCAACACTGAAGAGAATAAACTGTTGGATAAATTTGTTTACACAAAAGTATTATTGTAGCTTGATAATGTACAGACTGAACCACTGTAGGCATATGGTCTGTTTGAGGATGCTTTTGTGGTATTCTTATGTACTTTGAGCAAGTCAGGAACCTTGCTGTATCCGCTTGTTAAGTGTGACGTCACGCGAAGCGGCTTCCGGGTCCAATCGCTCTATTCAACTGAATGGGGAGACTCATGAAATGGTAATAAACGTTTACAAAGCGATTTAATACTTTCGAAAATCACGATGGCAATATATTTGTCCATGCCTATTAACCAATGGCCAGAAAGTGATTCATTTTTTTATAAATTGTACAAATTTTGGCCTAGAGATTGTTGTGTACACTGACTTTGTAAAATTAACTTTAATGTGTGATATGAATAAAAAGAGATCATAAACGAATAATTTCTCAACTCAAATGTTTTTATATATTTTATATATAAAACTAAATGAACGGCGGCTTGGACCCGGAAACAGTATTACATACGTAACCACTTAACAAGCGGATATGCAGGACGAGAGAGCGCTCAGAGTTCATCTGAAACATCTTCATTTGTGTTCAGAAGATGGAGGAAGGTCTCGGGTTTGGAGTGACGTGAGGGTGAGTACTTAGTTACAGAATTTGCATTTTTGGGTGAACTAACCCTTCCATCTTGAAGCAGAGAAAATTATTTTGTCTTTACAAATGCATAATTGAAAAACTTTATGCAAAGCAAAAATACTTTACTTAGTTTTTGTCTTGTTTCTGGTGCAAATATAAAAAAATTAAATCAAGAAGCATTTTCTTGACAAGTAAAAATATTGTCTTGTTTTCAGAAATATGTCAAAATGAACGGAGTTTTCCTTAAAACAAGTTAAATAATCTGCTGGGGGGAGGGGGGGGGGGTTATTTGATAACTGATAGTTTTGATATTATTTGTTATGTGTTATGTACATATATTATTACCAAAAACCTTATTCACTTTTGTAAATGATATTGACAGTAAGGTAAATTAAGTGTAGAGCCCTACCCAGACTCCAGTATACAAAATGAGCTACATGTTCTTATAACACACAACATTATTTACCATCACTGTTGGTCACGGGGGGTGCCGTGACCAATCCTTCCTGACGGTCGAATCTTTCTTCTTGACCTGAGACGGTGGAGTTGATGTTTCTTTCTCTCAGGTAGAGAGCAATTACTCCGAGTACGGTAAATAACATGATAGATTAATTTCCGTACACTTAAATATGAGAAATGGTAAATAAACCTACAATAAATACTGAAATTTACTGTAAGTAAAGCTCGTTTATCAGAGTGAGCCTTAATAAACCGTATGCTATCAATTGACAATATAAGAAAAGCAAATTATACGAAGCAAACTATGTACAACTTGCTAGAAACTCGTCAAATAAAGCAATGGCGAATGTTGGATTGTAAGAGGAATGTCTCCCCAGAATTCGAACGCGTTCCAACATTCTAAAAGTCAGCTGTTACGTCATTGGTCAGTTTTGCTCAGTTTTTCTTTGAGTTGAAAAATGCACTAGCACGAGGTTGTTTAGTTCCTTCACGGGTGTTTTAGGAGCAAAATAAAACGATTTTTCAGGAGATCTTTGTTTGGCTCGTAAATGTTTTCTGTTTGATGAATCATACTGTTCGTTTGGTGAGCCAGAGATTCGTTTTTTTAAATCAGGGTCGATTTAAATACATTCACAGGTAAGAGTTGTCTCGGCTTTTATTTTGCACTTCAAATGTCAGTTATTGGCAATAAGAGCTTGTATACACAAGAAACACGAGATATTATAGTGTATATCCATTAAAATCTGCAGATCTACTTTATCAAACGCCATTTACACTTCAAATAACTTACCGAAGTAATGTGATGCTGAGATTAATAAAAGGGTGGCATGTCGGACTGATTCCTGTTTTGCTTAATAAATTACTTGTTCTGTTATTTGACAACAAAGAGAAGAAATATATATATTTAATGTTAATTAATGTTCACAATTGAATATAGACTTCTATTTTTCACATCTGTTTGTTAAAGAATGACTAAAATTTTATTCATGTAACAGTATCGTAAACATAACTATTAATGAAGTGTTATGTAAACATTATACCTGAGTGTCCTGGACCATCCCCTTTTCAAGTTGGATTTTGAGAAATGGCACTTAAAAATGCTCTCAAAATGCACATAAAGATAAAGTACTGAAAACAACATAAAAATATGAAGTTTTTCTACTTGAATCAATTTGCTTTGGCATAACAGTTTATTAAGTTGACGGCAACAAAAAAAATATTTTTACATGCAAAAAACACATTTTTGTAAAAAAAAATTAAAAATAAAAAATGCTTTCCACAGCACCAGGAATTCCTGTCCTAATGGTAGTGGGGAAATGGAAGGTGCTTGAAAAACAAAATTGTTATAAAGTGGTATATAAAATCCGTTGACTAGATACAGGGGGTGTCTCACATTACCCCGTTCTCCCCTATGATGATTATAAAGTATCGAGACGATATAGATATGTTTGTTTAAGGCTATAGTTTAAAATACGATAATTATATTAATCGTTGTTCATTGCTTGTCTTATTTTTTCCATCTAGAGCGACATAAGAAGGCTTTTCTCTCAGAAGTGCGCAAAAACGCTTCCATTTTTCCGGCTAAAACGACCAGAACTAGCCTACATAGCGTGAAGAGTCCACGAAGATTGTTTATTTTCCGTTGTTACCATAAAAAAGACCCACAAACAGAGCCAGCAAATGAAGTTAATACGCAATATTCACGGTTTGTTTATGCTTTATTTTAGCAGGAGCAGCACATGGAGAAGACATTGTGACTAGCAAGTAAGTTTATTCAGCTGTGAGTCAAATGTATTCAATTTTAAGGGGTTTCTTATATTCATGACATTGTTATGGAAATTTGAGTGTAACTTGAATTTTAACCTTGTTAATGTGACTCAAATCGACGGAGGAGACCTGCTTAATGTGGTTTGGCTGTTTTAGGTAATTAGTTGGTTATTCTGCCACCTCCTGGATACATTTGAGCATTACAACGTTGCTTGGTTAGTTCATTAAAACTATTTATAATGGTATTTATTCATATTTTATACTTCAACTAATACTAAATAATAATACAAACAATTAAATATGTGAAAACTATACATTTTAACTCATATGAAATATTCATAGCCAAATATAAAACGTAAATATGAATAAAACAAGGGTGGTTGGCTGTATTTGTGTAAATTGATATTAATATTTTGTGGGTGCGTGTTGTGGAAGTGTATTTTTTTTTCTTTTTCTTCCTTTTGCTGCCCGCTTGGACCAGAATCCTCTGCTTGGTAGACTTTATTTAGACTTAGACCTTTTTAAAATGTCATGTAGTATTTTGAGACTTCAGTGTTTGAGTCTTTCACTGCTGAAACTGATTCCGCTTGCTCCCAGTTGGTCTCTTTTGTTGTCCTGTCAGCGTGTCAGGAGCGGCCATGTTGGATCCTGAAGAGCCTCAGTCCAACCGGTGTATAAATAAATAATCATAATAAAAATAAAGCACACCTCCAGCTGTCTACCTTCATTAGCTGGTTCAGGAGTCTTAGGGTTTAAGTAGATTTATTCCTTTGCATGTATGTGTTAATTTATAAAGCATGTTGGTGTAATTATTTACAAATTAACTAGCTACTGTAATCTTTCTTATTGAAAAAGTAAAGGATTACTTTTATTGACATACTTGCTTTAAATATTGCACATATATTCAATAGTTTTGAATGATTCTAGTTGATCATTTGGTATCAGAAGTGGCTTATATGAAAGGCAAAGGCCTCTAGATTGCGCTTATTTTACCAAAATAATAAAATATGATGATATGATGATGCCTTGATTTTTAATAATTTAATTAGGACAGTAAGGTCTGACTTTGCTTAGACAAAAGTCTCGTCACTGAGCAGAAATAATGTCCAGTATAGAATATAAAGTCCTGCTGCAGTGGAGACAGAATGAATATTGTGTCTGACTCCATCATGAGCTTGGAGGACTGCATCCATACATCTCTGCAATGACTCAAATCACTGATTAATAAAGTCATCTGGAATGGTGAAGAAAGCGTTCCTGCAGGACTTCCAGAGCTCATCAAGAGTCTTTGGATTCATCTTCAATGCCTCCTCCTTCATCTTACCCCAGACATGCTTAATAATGTTCATACCTGGTGACTGGGCTGGCCAATCCTGTAACTTCTTAAGCTTCTGTGCTTTCAGGAGCTTTGATGTGGAGGTTGAAGTATGAGGAGCGCTATCCTGCTGAAGTATTTGCCCTCTGCTGTGGTTTGTAATGTAACGGGCAGCACAAATGTCTTCATACCTCAGGCTGTTGATGTTGATCATCCACTCTGCAGATCTCACGCACGCCCTCATACTGAATGTAACCCCAAACCATAATTTTTCCTTCACCGAACTTGACTGATTTTTTTGAGAATCTTGTCACCATGTGGGTTCCAGTAGGTCTTCTGCAGTTTTTGTGATGATTCTACCTTCTACCATTTTTTTTCCATATAAAGATATTTCAGGAAGATATGGTATTATGAAATATAGTGCCATTAATTTTAAACATTTTGTGTTTGAATACAAAGTTGTTCTTTCTTAATTTGTGTTTATATATATATATATATATAAATGGATTTGTTTGACTAGATTTAACAAATTTAGCATTTGATTTCTGTTTATGCATTAAGATTTATTTGGATGATTCAATTAAATTACTTATTGAGTATTTAAGTTACTTTTCAGTAAAGTAGGCTAATTAGAAGTTTAATTTTAATGACACATAATTAGTAACTGTTTTTTTTTTTTTTTGGTCTACTCTCCCGAGCTGAGTGATCTGGTTTCTGATTGGTCAGCTCTGTTGCTCTTCTGTTTCAGTGCTCTCTCTTTAATCCGTCAGTAGAGACTCGGAGCTCTTGGACTGCAGCCATGAGGAACCTGCTGACCACAAACGAGCAGAACTTCTACCGTGAGCTCATCCTGAAGGAGGCTTACACACGCCTGGCCTGGAAGGTGAAATACAGTAAGGAATACCCTAGCATTTTTACTTCTCGCAGACCCAAATCCATCGGGCTTTTTAATCCTCCACCTGTCGATAAACTAATTTTACCACCTGTTGTGGAACCGCGGGAAAAGCAGCGCGCGGCTCACGCGCAGATACAGGTGCGGCGGTCCCTCAGTGAGGCTCCTCTTATGAGACCCGTGAGCCCGCAGACCTCAGGGGCTCTTTATCAGGGAATCTCCACTGAGGGCAAAGGACGACTCCTGTATCTGAGGAAAAGGGCTCAAAAGGGGCCCGAGGAGAAGTTTGACTACCCCATACTCTCCTCCTGGGAGTATGGATGGAGACTAGGTGAGGAAAGTGTGAGTTTTGTATTGTTAAGATATGTAATGGACCCTTTTCACATTTTGGGGTTTCTCAGTAGCGGAAGTCATAGTTGAGTAAATTTATAGTGCAGTGAATGGAAGAGTACAACAAATATTAAACAATATTACTTAATATCAATAACTTTAAATGACTTTATTATGATGACCGTTAAACTTGTTATAACGGAGAAGTCTTGTGAAAAGGGTCCATTACAGTTTTAAGAAGCAAAATGTACAAATGTCCATCAAATAGGTCGAGAAAATAACTCAAGAAAACAGCTTTTGTTATGTTGAAACATCAAGAAAATTAAGTTGTGATGACGAGAAAACAAGTTTTAATATGTTGAGATAATGAGAAAATGAAATTGTGGTAACGAGAAAACAACTTTTGATGTCGAGATGACGAGAAAATGAAGTTGAGATAACGAGAAAATTAAGTTGCGATAACGAGAAAATAACTTGATTTCGAGATGACAAGAAAATGAAGTTGTGATAACGAGAAAACAACTTTTGATGTCGAGATAACGAGAAAGTTAATTTTTGATAACGACAAAATAACTTGATTTCAAGATGACGAAAAAATTACGTTGTGATAACCAGTAAGCTTTTGATGTCGATAATGAGAAAAAAACGTTTGATATGTCGAGATAATGCAAAAATAAAGTCTTGATAATGAGAAAACAACTTTTGATTTGTCGAGATCACAAGACAATAAAGTCGTCATAACAAGAAAATTAAGTCCTGATAACGCGAAAACAACTTTTGATATATCGGGATAATAAGAAAATTAAGGGGTGGTAACAAGAAAACACCTCGATATGTCGAGATAATAAGAAAATTGAGTTGCGGTTATGAGAAAACAACTTGATATGAACTATATATATATATATATATATATATATATATATATATATATTTAAGGGATATACGTTAATGGCCAACTAAAGCACTAACCTGAGCTTGTTTCATCAGGTGACTTTGAGACTGACTGCCGGACTCCAGCCAATGGGAGATCAGGGGTGGTAAAGAGTGCTTTCTACGCCAGGAATGGTATTTTTAATATTCCCGCAGCCACTGATCAACTCGGATAAAACATTATTACGTTTTTTTTACTTGAAAATATGGTATTTTCTGTACAAACCTGAAACTCTTGGAGTCTGAAGCATTTGCTGAAGTTTATCATTTATTTTATTAGTAAATGTTATTTTTATTTAATTGACCATGTATAAATAAATATCTAATTATTATTGTTCCAATGGCAAAAATCATTATTAGAAGTCAGCTGACAGAACATGTGTTGTAAAAACATATCAGTGTAAACTAGGGCTGTGCAATATAACGATCTATATTGTATTGACAAAATAAAAAAGTAGTTTCATGTTATGCTCTATCGCTTCATTTGTGATGTCAAAAATACATTGTTTTCATTTATTTTTTGCATTATATTTTGCAATATGTTGAGCCTGCAATTATTTTTTAAATGTGTTTATTTTTCATAAATATTTCTTTTCTACTACATTGTTAAAATGTTTATTCTGAAGCTCAAAATAAAGTTAAGTAAATCATTACATGTAAATGAGAAAGTTTTTGACTGCATACCTTAAAATTGAAAAACAAAATACTTTTTTAAATGTGGTCAATATATATATATATATATATATATATATATATATATATATATATATATATATATATATATATATATATATATATAAGCACAGTCTGCAGCATAAAAGGATAAACTTTAAAATGTAATATTTTCTCTGTCAATATAGACAAAGTATTTATATTTATTGTATATTTTAACATAGAGTTGTATTAATTCAAATAGTAGTTTGGACACCAAACATTTTTGAAACTTTAGTATTAGAAAGGTAATACATTTAAATTGAAATGGGGTATTGCAATAAAATAAAGTAACTAATTGAATATTTAATGGTTATCTTGCTTTTTCCTCTTTATTAAAATTGTATTTAATGTTTTTCTCTAGCATATCATTGGGATGTTATAAATTTTGTACCGGGATCAAGTTATTAATTAGAGTATTTCTAGTTTTCAGGGTATCTGCGGGGTCCTAAAATTTCTTAAAAGCAAATGTTTTGGCCTTAAAAAGTCTTAAATCTACAGAAATATTGTGTTGTAGGTCTTAAATCTTTTTAACGGGTCTTCATTTTCCTATGTTTGTGTAAAGCTGTCTGATCTGGCCATTAACACCAATACAATCACCAACAATCCATCACAATATAACTTTATTTCTAAATAACATTTAGTTACTTTCCTTACATTTATTTAAAAGTTCTCAATTTATTTACTGACCTGACCATGTTTATCATTAAATTATTATTATTATTGTATTATTAAATTGATTAAATTATAATTATATTTTGATTGGGCAAGTGAAAATCTTTTTCAACTGGGACATTCAAAAACATTCTTAGCATTTAGCCTTGTATTAGTCTAAAATATCTTTCATAATGGTCCTTAAAATGTCTTAAATTAAACTTGGTGACCCCTGCAGAAACCCTGTGTCTTTGGTACTGACCAATCTAATGCATATGCGCAAATATTTTATTGTAAAGCATCCTATATGAAGTATTAATTTAAAAGAGATCTGTAAGGGGTGTACTCATTTATGCTGAGCTCTGTATATAAAGTACAAAGTCTTATTTGACTGACTTTAGAGAGAAGCTGCTATATTGTGATATATGTAAATCAGTATTAGGATATAAGAGTTTTTTGCCATATCGCCCACTGCTTTAAACTAGGTCCTGTATGGAGTTAATTAATGGAGAAATGTAGACGGGTCAAAGAGGTTACATCTTTGCAAACTAACCCTTCTGTTTCTTAGCAACCAGTAAACCAACACTACAAACAACTGGTTCATAATTAACCACTGCTTTTCTTCATCTTCTTTCACAGGCAGACAGTTCTGCTCTCACGGTTCCCACTCAAATTCCCTGACTTATCTCTGATTTTCACTGGATAAAAAGCTGAATTACCATGACCAATACACCTTATTTTTCATTTTAAGGTAACCTATCATGCACCTTTTTACAAGATGGAAATTAGGTCTCTGATGTCTTTAGAGAGTGTGTGTGAAGTTTCAGTTTAAATTACCACACTAATAATGTTTTATAACTCTCTGAAACTGACCCTTTAAGGCTTTGATCCTAACTGTACCATTTTGGTGACTGTCGCTTTAAATTCAAATGAGATTGTGCTCTTTTTAGAAGAGGGCGGAGCTAAAATGGCAAATGCAAAACAGGGCTAACATTATCCTACACAGGTTCATTCTGAAAACGTAGTCCCGTGGACGTTGCTGGACACGGCGAATTATGTAGCCGAAGGTACGTATGGCTGCATTTCATTTTTTAAACGAACGCTATGGGGCGTTATGACGCCGTTCCTTTAAGAGGATGCTTACCGGCTGACTGCTTACCTCCGTGTGGACTGCTTACCCGCCGCAACCGGTTTGTCCAGTTAGCTCGTCAGAATGTCGGCGGACTTGAGACGCAGGGAGGAGTTGACCACGACCACGACAATCGGGTTCGAGTCCGGGGAAGAGCGGTTCCAGAAATCAGCTAAGACAAAAACAGAATATAAAAAAAAAATGAACAAGTTCGTAACAGGGTGAGAATGTGGTGAAATCCGAAAATGTGGTAAAAATAAGACAAGCGCTTTTCTTTTTTTGGACGGCTTTTGTAAATCGCTGGTTGGGTTAAGAGAAGTAGGTGGGTGGATGGGTCAATGGATTAAATTGGTTGGGTTTAGTGATGGAGGGTGGGTCAGTCGATTGGCCGGTCGCCCAGTTGGCCTTTCAGCCAGTCAGACAGATGATTCGGTCGAAAGCGGCCTCTGGTGCGTTTGCGCGAGAACAGCGCGGGTGCGAACTGCACTCGCAAGAGGAATTTGAGATGTGAAAAAGCTCACACAGCGGCCTTTTGCGGATTCACGAAAACAAAAACTGCTAAAATAAGGAACTCCCAGAATGTATTTTGCAATCTCCAGAAACGTCCACGGGACTACGTTTTCAGAATGAGCCTGGGTTGACATTAGCCCTATTCACACATACAGACCTTTCCTGAAAATTACCAGCAATTTTCTAAAAAGGTGTGTCTGTGTGAACAGGCCCTTTTTGAAAATACCGGTAAACTCATTCCGGCTATTTTCCGGAAAGAGAAGTTGTAACATTACCGGCAATTTGCCGGAATCATGCTCTGTGTGAACGCAGAAGGAAGATTGCCGGAAAGAGCGCGTTCACGCTTAGAATGTGCTGACGTGAGACGTCTACTTCAGCCAATCAGAACACTCAGGCGCATTCATGTCCGCGTGGTTTATGAAGATAAAAGCCTTTGAATATTTTTCCAGACACATTCAGCTGCTAGATGTTAGTCAGATAGCATAGCACACACACATATCATGTACATTTCGACATGCGAAAGTGTTCCTCTATATTTTCATCTAAGTTGTTCACAATACTGATCCATCCACAGAGTTTGTAATGTAGACAAATGTTTACAAATGCAAGCACTGCCGTTTAGAGGTCATTTCTGATTAATGATGTCAGAATTTACCATTATTTTGGAATGGATGTGTGAACGGTCTGTTCCGGAAAAATTCCGTAACGTCCACGATTAAGTGAACATCGCTTTTTTGAATTTACCGCTAAAGTCATTCTGGAAAATTTCTGGATATTTACCGGTATCACTGTGTGAAAATGTGAAAAGAAGTGTCTGATGCTGTGTTCACACCAGGCGCGGCATGCACGAATAAATTGCGCTGTTCGTGTGTGAACAGACGCATGAACATTTTGAGTTTACTTGCTTCATTTGTGTCAAATTTGCTTTATTCGTCTTCCCTGAGGCCTCTTCCCAGTAGGACATGCCTGGAACACCTCCCTAGGAGAAAAATTGAGTGAAATTTATATATATATATATATATATATATTTATATATATATATGAGCAATATCACACGAGTAGCCGTGCGATATGGCTGTATACCAGCACTGGTGGGAGGCGTGCATTGGCACGAGGCCGTAGGCCTATATATATATATATATATATATATATATATATATATATATATATATATATATATATATATATATATATAGCACCTGTTACACATAGTAGGAACAAAACTAAATACCATGGCAGTCAAATAGCTGTTTTCCCATGAATTTTTTAGTATGCCTTCCTTTGTGTTCAACAGAAGAAAGAAACTCAGACTGGAACAAGTGGAAGATCAGTAAATTATTTATTTGTTAATTATTTTTGTTCGTTTTTGGCTAAACTGTCCATTTAATAGAGGACCATGCTTCATATGTCATTATGCCATCATTTCCACAAGTGTTGCAGTATATTCATTTCATTTCAAGCTTATGTCCATGTATAGGTACTGTATGTCCAATATTTCAGGTTCCTAGCATAGAAAACGCCTTTTTCTGAACTCAGAACTTTCATAAAGCCAGCAGTTGTCTATTGTCGGTTTAGTCTTCTAAATATCCAGATGTGATTAAAGATTTATCCCGTCGCTGCGAGCAGGGTTCGAACCTGCGCGGGGAGACCCCATTGGATTTCAAGTCCAACGCCTTAACCACTCGGCCATCGCAGCTGTACATACAAATGTGTCAGCGTGGTGTTTTAAAGGTACAGTGATGTTAATGTTTTGAAGCATAGTTTACATGTCATCATGTTTTCTTGACTTCCTCTTTCTATTTCCTTTGAAAAGCCTCAAGTCATCCTAGTAATTCCCATTCTGAGAGTTTATGATGAAGTTTAAAGAAGTTAACTAGAATGTAATCTGTAGTACTTTTTTTTTAACGTACGTTCCCCTTTAAATGAGTTTCGATTGAAATGCTGGGTGTATATTATATATTTATTAATATACTATAAATATTTAAGTTTTATATGAAACATTTGTTATTTAATCAAATATGATTAGATTCAACCAGTAAAATTACTTTTGTTAAAGATAATAATCTAGTTTGCCTTTGAAAGCTCATGTGATACCTGTTACAGTTTTCAACGCTCACCTTGATCGACCAATCACAACAAGTTGTGATTTGTGTTTACATTTAGATGATGTGACTGCTTTTACTTACTCGCAAACGTAGCATACATACTGTAATTCAGTCAATTTAATAAGATCGCTTTTAATAATACAAATGTATTTAACAGACCAGATGTTATGCAGACATCTGAAGGCGCTTCTGTACGGGGTTTTGTAAATATGAGCCACCGCGCGCCCCCTGACGGACTCTGTTGCCTTTATGAAACAGCAATATAAACCGCCCAATGGCTTCTTTCTGTTGTCAGATGTGCACCTGACAGATGTTGCGAACAATTCCCATCGACAGAGCATTATTTCTCGGCTGTTTTCCCCTTTAAATTAGCGAACTTCCCTCTTGACGGCAAAGGGAGCGCGCACGAGTGAACGCGCATCGGGTCTTCAGATCAAAGAGTGACATGAGTCTGCTTTAATCGGCCTTCACTGGACATTCAGACACTCAGCGGACATTTAAAGGTATGCTTACTATTATCAGACATCTGAATAAATAATATATGAAGATAATATTGGCATAAAATACGATAAACTGTCAACTGAAGCTCAGGTTTTGAGCACATGACAGATCTGATCTGTTAGCAATAAGTTTACAAAGCAACAACATTTGATGCTGCATTATTAATGTAACGACTGACTCGGATGATAACTGAGTTAATAACTCAGCTATTAAGTTAATTCAATGTGACAAAAAAGGGATCGTTCACGTGTAAATATTAATTTATGTATCGTTTCACAGCCTATTTGGCCTTAATATTTACATCAATACCTTGATATATATATATATATATATATATATATATATATATATATATATATATATATATATATATATATATATATATTTATATATATATATATATACAATTAGTGTCTAAAATAGTAAATAATAAGCATTTCAACATATATAAGTGTGTGTGTGTGTGTGAAATTGTATGTTGAGTTACATAATTATGTGATTGGCTGTCCATATCTGTTAATTATATAACGTGAAATATATGTTATAATAAATAGGTTCATCAAAATTATTGTATTCTCATTCTGCTTGATAAAATGCTGAAATAATATTAAACTATATACTTATTAGAGTTTATTAAGTTATATAATATGTGAAATGTATTTACTTTATGATGCTTATCCTTAATGAATGTTACTAATACCACTACTAATAATACTGAGGCAGTAATATATAAAAATTAAGCATATGAAAGTGAATAATAGCAAACATTTTACATTTATATTGTATTATAATGTTGCTTACAACTAAATTTTAATTGATAATTAGGGCCAGACAGAATCTGCAGACTTTTTTGTTTTTATTTCTGCACAGAATTTATGATTTTGGAAGAATTACAACTAAAAGCTTAATATATTAAACAAAAATAATAATATTTAAATTTTATTTGATGTTTACAATGGAAATTTAATTAGATCCACTTAATAAACAAAGTCTCTCATAGGCTTAAAATAGATCTACTAAAAGACAGAAAATATTACTTTACAAACTGTATTGTAAATTAATCACATGAACACAATAATATTGCTGAAATTATTATAAATTTCCCCCAATTCTTTTTTATTATATTTTAACATGTACACACACATTTCCATGTGTCAGATTTAACATAAACCAACAAATGAACAAACAAAACAAAAGGCTTCTCAGTATTTTACATCAGAATACAATATCACCTCCGTTATTGATCTACTAGTAAAACATTTTCAAATCCACCACCTTTTAAAAAACACCCTAAAAGGTCCACAAACTCTATCAAAAATATGTATTTATTATTTATTAATTTCTTATAAGTTATTTTTCCCATTGCCATGTCTTTCAGCCGACAGCCTATATTTGGTGCACATATACTTTTCCAATTTAAAGAAATAAGCTGTTTCGCTTGTAGAATACATCTATTCATAAATATATGCTCCGTCATTTCTAACTTGATCTCCTTGGGATGTAAATGAAAATTAAAATAATTAAAGGAGACATTGGCATATTAACTCAAGAATATTTTCTATAATTTCTTTCACACCTTCCCAAAAGTTGTGTATTCCTTTACATTCCCATAAGGTTGAAGTCAGAATTATTAGCCCCCCTGTTTATTTTTTTCCCTCAAATTTCTGTTTAATGGAGGGAATATTGTTTCAGCACATTTCTAAGCATTATAGTTTTAGAAACCTATTTCTAATAACTGATTTATTTTATCTTTGTCATGATGACAGTAAATAATATTTGACTAGATATTTTTCAGACACTTCTATACAGCTTAAAGTGACATTTAAAGGCTTAACTAAGTTAATTAGAGTAACTAGGCAGGTTAGGGTAATTAGGCAAGTTATTGTATAATGATGGTTTGTTCTGTAGACTATCGAGAAAAAATATAGCTTAAAGGGGCTGATAATTTTGTCTATAAAATGGTTTTTAAAAAATTTAAAACTGCTTTTATTCTAGCCGAAATAAAACAAATAAGACTTTCTCCAGAGGAAAAAATATTATCAGACATACTGTGAAAATTTCCTTGCTCTGTTAAACATCATTTGGGAAATATTAAAAAAAGACAAAAAAAAAATCAAAAGGGGGCTAATAATTCTGACTTCAACTGTAAACAGTGATACATCGTTCCTGCTGAAATTAATTTTAAAGCTAAATAAATATTAATTTACAGACAGGTAAATATATATTCCGCGTGGGACTACTAATCATTAATATGTGTGTTTTAAGTTACACCTAAGATGACTTATATTAATTAAATATTTATATAAGTATTATGTAATTACTGTTTTGAATAATTTTTCATATATAATGATAATAATAATATATTACCTAAAATAATAAAAATATGTGTTTGTATTTGTTTATTTTTCTTTTGCTAATAGATGGTGCTGGTTTTGTTTCCCCCTAGGAATATCTTGTGGATATGCTTCGCTAATATCATTTGTTATACTCTATTAGAATCAGTCTTGCATGAGGTCATCATCTGAATCTTGTCTTCTGAATGTGGTGTTATTGAACAGGATGGATCTGGACGTCCTGAACATGTTCTTGATTGCCGGCGGGACTCTGGCGATCCCCATCCTGGCGTTCGTAGCCTCGTTCCTGCTCTGGCCGGCCACGCTTATTAAAGTTTATCACTGGTAAGAGCTGCAAAATCATCTTAGCCTGTCCTCAGAGATTATTAAAGCTCATTTGTGCGGACTGTCTGTAGGGAAAACATGTGTTCGGATGACCTGGACTGCTCCGTACTGGCAAGATCGCTTCAGCTTCTGAACGCTTGTTGTTTGTTTTCCGTTAAACAAGAACATTCACACTATATATTAAAAGCTTTATCAGTGCTCACAGCTGGACAAACCACACACTCTCTTCCACATGATAAAGATCAATGGTGTGGTTTATGTGCTATTAGCTGCGCTAAACACATCAGATATTAGAACATTTCCCAGAAACATATGCGTGTTAGTGCAAAAATCAACACTGTAGTGCAATAGGTGTTAAGAGGTAACAGCTATAGGGGTTTTGTCTTATTATGAATTTGTTTTTGGCTACTGTTATGTTTTAGATTCATTTATTCATTCATATTAGTCCCTTATTTATCAGAGAATGAACAGCAGAATGAACCACCAACTATTCCAGCATATGTTTTACACAGCGCATGCCCTTCCAGTACTGGGAAACACCCATACACTCTTATTCACACTCATACACTACGGCCAATTTAGCGTACCCAATTCACCTATAGTGCATGTGTTTGGACTGTGGGGGAAACCGGAGCACCCGGAGGAAACCCACGCAGACACGGGGAGAGCATGCAAACTCCACACAGAAATGCCAATTGACCTAGCTGGGACTCGAACCAGTGACTTTCTTGTTGTGAGGTGACAGTGCTGACCACTAAGCCACCGTTCCGTTTTATATTCTTATTTAAAATCAGAGGAGGCCCCTTCCTTCCAAGAATGGGCAGTAGAACTTGCTAGAGTGGCCGCATTTGAAAAAATGTCTTATAAGCAAATGGACAAGCTAAACCTATTGACCTTTTTCTTGGAACGCAAAATTACCTATGATGCTTTGCGTTTATGCGCAAGGAGAATGCGAAGAACTTCCGGTCGGCAGCTGATGCTTGTAAACAGTCACATTTGGACAGCTTTGAAATGATAGTTTTAATCTATTTTACCTGCTTTTATCCTCTTTGAACTAATACTGTTGTCCATCAGCAGCATCTCCTGGACTGATCATTTGAAGAAATGCGATCTAATAGGATGGAAAACAGCTGCTGTGAGGCGTTTTCCCGTCGTTGTCAGACGGCATCTTCTGCAGTTTAAATGAAGCCTCGTCATCGCTAAAGTCAACATTTTCTCTTTATTTCAAATATATAACCAACCCAAACTAATGTAATTCACCAAAATGTTTGACACACACACGTAGCCTGTACTGTGCCACTGACACACTGATTTAATAACTGTGACAAAGTGGAAAAATAGGCTAGTGTCATTTCAAAATGACCGAAAAACACAAACCGTGGTGAAAACAACACATGAAATAAAACACAAACGGCTCGCGATCAGAATGAACAGCAAATCAGCAGCAGAGGATCAATAACAGACTTTTAGTGGTCATTTTTGTAAATTGCACGACTTTCATACCTGTTAAGTTTCATGCAGTACTCTGGTTTGCTCTCTCTCTCTCTCTCTCTCTCTCTCTCTCTCTCTCTTTCTCTCATTTCACATTTTAGGTGCTTTATTGGCATGACAAATAACTGTACATTCGTATTGCCAAAGCAGTGCAGCGTCGCTGCGTACAGACAAGACAGTGCAAAAAGGGCAGTAGTGCAAACAAATATGAACATGAAATATAATATAGAAATAAAGAAAAGAAATGTAAAAAAAATAAAAATAGATTAATAAAAATAACAATACATCAGTAAAACTAAAAATATTAATCAAAATAAAAATAGATTAATGGTAATTTGTGAAACAGGATAAAAGTGGTGACAATAATATAAACAGTAAGTCCACGAGTAAAGCCTGATTTATACTTCTGCGTCAAACACCGGCGTATGCTACGGCGCTGACGCATAGCCCTTCGCCGTGGCCATCGCCGTCACTGACGTGCACCTCTCAATAAATGTAACTACACGTCGCAACGACGCGTAGCATAAGCTCTGTGATTGGTCGGCTTGGTAGCGCTGACGAGTCTGGGCGGGACCGAGAGGCGCGCGAATGGCGCGACGCCGCGCGAGCGATTGTTTACAAGTGTGGAGTCCCGTGAAGGAGCTCCGGATGGAAAGTTTTGTTATGTGTTTACCTCATAGTTAAAGTTGTTGCACGTCCGCCGGTTCCTGCCTCAAAATGAGCGAGTTTGAGCCACTTGTACATCCCGGAAGTGTTCAGGAAATGCAAAAAAGTAGCGAAGAAACTCGACACAGAGGAACATTTACACCTCACTGCCAACTAGCGTTTCGGAAGTGTTAATGCAGACCGGCAGAGACAGCGCGCAGAAGTATAAATGCACAGCCACGCGCGTTGCCTGCGCCGTGGGTTACGCCGGTCACTTGACGCAGAAGTATAAATCAGGCTTAAGTCTCTCTCTCACTCTCTCTCTCTGTGTGTGTGTTAAAGAGCCGCTGAGCTAACAGCTGACAGGCCGGGAACGCATACACGCACTGTATTTCTGACGGCAGACACGTGAACTAGGAGAACGTTTTTCTCGTATTTCTGACGCGCTTGAACCACATGTGACAGATTATAACGGCTTTATCAGACACATTTCTAAGTTGTGTGTCACAAAAACACTCTGTTATCCATTAAAAACGTCATTGAAACCCATTTTCGGAGCGCCAATTACCAGTTGTACACGCTGTAAACGGAAGTTTTTAGCATTCTACCGGAAGACGCTGGTCACTATGGCGCCCTCCATGCAGCAGCCATGAAAAAGATCTATACTTTAAAAAATGGTCCAAGTGCTTCAACTGTTTGGAAATGGAATAGTAATAAATGTATGAGAAATATACTGATGTTGACAGTGTAAATTTGATATGTTATTGACTGAACTTACCCATTCATTTATTTTATTGTAATTTTATAGTATTTTATTTGAATTGTTTTCTTCATTATATAAGATAGAGGCCTTAATTGTGTTTAATGATAGCCAAGCCGGGAGCTTACAGTTGTAGTTAGGGATTAGTTTGGGGTGGGTCTGTTAATAAGGCAAAATGTTGATTCTTTTCAGAGTTGTATTCTGTATTCCATGCTGAACCATGCCTGAGAATCAATAAAACTGTTAATCACTATATTCTTATTTAAAATGAATTCTTCATATTTCACTTTTCATACTTTACATACATTTTTATTTTTAATATTTGTTTTTGAACATACGAATATGGTTGTTATTATTGTTTATTGCCGTTTTAGTTGATTTAGGAAAAGTAATACATTTTTAAAGTATACTTTTTTTAAAACATCAAAGTCTTAAAAGTAATAAAAATGCAGGAAAATAAATGTCTATTCAGTAAAAAAAATGTAAAATTAAAAATGTTTATTTATAAAATATAAAATATAAAAAATATATAATAAATATAAGATACATTTTAAGTATGAAAAAACTTCTTTATTAAATGTATTTAAAGTTAAAAACTTTTTTGTTTTAATTATAAACAAAACTAAAAGTTTATATATATATATAATTGAAATTCAATCATTTACCAGACATGGGTTGCGGCTGGAAGGGCATCCGCTGCGTAAAAACTTGCTGGATAAGTCGGCGGTTCATTCCGCTGTGGCGAACCCGGATAAATAAAGGGACTAAGCTGAAATGAATGAAATTGAATTATTTGTTTTGCAGTGCAGATTACACTGAAAAAAATTTGTGTCTGCAAAATTGAAGCAAACAATTTAAATATGTTGTTTAACTTGATTTATTTGTTTAAATTCAGCCCAAATAAATTGTTTACGACCACTATGCTTAAAAAATTAAGTAAATCCAAGGAATCACCTTTGAAACATTTTTTAAGTGTAGATATATCCAAATCCATCAATATTTAGTATTCATTAAAAGAATCCTAAAATACTAAGTAAATGGGCTCTCTGCACAGCTAGTGTTGTTCAGCCAATGAGGAACTTCCGGTGAAAGCTTAATGTGACTATTTTCATAAGGTTTCTTTTACAGCATCGATGTTGTAATGTAATTAAAATACATTGAGTTAAATAGACTTCAGCATTCATTTAGTTGTTCAAGCGTAAAACGAGATGAAAGACCATTTAACTACTGTCAGGATCAGCAGGCGAGCACAGAAACTCCACTGAAAATACTGGAGTAAAGTAAACTGTCATATTTTAAAGACATGACAGGGGAAAATGGAATTTAATGCAGTGCTTCTTGTCCAGTCTTATACCCTCATATCGTATATCAGTCAGGCAGTGAAGATCGCTGATTTTTAAAGAAAGACCTTAAATGTGGCAGTTTTATAATGGCACAACAGTTCAGCGGAAGCGCTAAGGCTGACTGTCTGAAATTTAAAGTCGGTGTGCATATTGCCCATTACAACGTACATACAGCTGAAGTCAGAATTATTAGCCCCCATGTTTATTTTTTTTCCCCAAATTCTGTTTAATGGAGAGAAAAGTTTTTCAACACATTTCTAAACATAATAGTTTTAATAACTCATCTCTAATAACTGATTTATTTGATCTTTGCCATGATGACAGTAAATAATATTAGACTAGATATTTTTCAAGAAACATCTATACAGCTTAAAGTGACATTTAAAGGCTTAACTAGGTTAATTAGGTTAGGGTCATTAGGCAAGATATTGTATAACGATGGTTTGTTCTTTAGACTATCGAAAAAAAAAATAGCTTAAAGGGATTAATAATATTGACCTTAAAATGGAGTTTAAAAAATTAAAATGGAGTTTAAAAAATTAAAAACTGCTTTTAATCTAGCCGAAATAAATCAAATAAGACTTTCTCCAGAAGAAAAAATATTATCAGACATACTGTGAAAATTTCCCTGCTCCGTTAAACATAATTTGGGAAATATTAAATAATAATAATAATTCAAAGGGTGGCTAATAATTCTGACTTCAACTGGATGTGCACTAGAAAATACAAAAAAGAAGCAAAAATCAGAAAACAAAATACAAATGCTAAGAAAATATATATTTTTCTGCAGTGTTTGTCAGTGGTTTCCACAATCTAAAAGCTTATCTTTCAGCGATCGTTCCTGCTTTCTCAGGTTTGCATTATTTAACGAATCTCTTATCTGCTTACAGTGATAAAGGCGTTTGGTTTATGCCACTGATCTGGGTAAAGGGTCAGTCATTAAACAGAACTCACGTTTACGGTCATGTACACATCTACAAGGTGCAGTGATTTACAGTACAGTAGCTTTATTCTGAATAATGCATGACGTTTTTGTGCATTCAGGAGGCTTTGTGCGTGCGTATGCATTAGCGGAGCGCTGCATTAGTTGCTGATGACGGTCCAATCTTACGCAAGCTGCCCAGTAGACTTTGCTTCTCGTAATATCTGGAGGCAAACTTTGCTCTACATGACGTGGTCATCAAAACCGCTGGGCTGGACGGACTGACCGCGTTCTTCAATGTCACGTCTGGACCGTTAGGAGCTCATGAAAGGGTTTTCTGACTCTTTGAGTGTATTTCTTGTTGCTAAAATAGGGCTGATTTGTGATTTAGACATCATTCATTCATTTTCCTTAAGCCTTGTTTTTTATGCAGTGGATGCCCTTTCAGCTCGAGCCTCAGCTGGGTCAGTTGGTGTTTCTGTGTGGAGTTTGCATGTTCTTCCATTGTTGGCGTGGGTTTCCCCAACAAGTCCAAACACATGCACTATAGGGGAATTGGGTAGGCTAAATTGTCCATAGTGTATGAGTGTGAATGAATGTGATGTTTCCTAGTGATGGATTGCACCTGGAAGGGCATCCGCTGCGTAAAACATATGCTGAATAAGTTGGCGGTTCATTCCACTGTTGCGACCATGGATTAATAAAGGGACTAAGCTAAAAAAAAAAATTAATGAATGAATGCCCTTCCAGCTGCAACCCAATATTGGGAAACAACCGCACATTCCCACATTCTTACATTCACACTCATACACTCTGGCCAATCTAGTTCATCCAATTCAGCATGGGGAGAACATGCAAACTCCACACAGAAACGCCAACTGGCCAAGCCAGGACTTGAACCAGCGACTTTCTTGCTGTGCGGGAACAGTGCTAACCACTGAGCTACCAAGCCGTCCCTAATTTAGACATCAATAATATCTGAAATGTTCTTGGTTACTTATTAAATTATTAAATAGGCTCCTCTAGAGCAGTGGTCCTCCAAACAGTAAGCCCAGTAAAGCAGCTACAGTTCTGCACAGTTCAAAAACGTGGCAGATTAATTCCTATTATTAAGAGCATTTATTATTGTCTGCCACTTTAAACATGAATAGTCTGAACGTTAACACTGTACTGTGCTTATATGTAAAAAAAAAAAAAACTAAAAACGTCAGCATTTAAATTAAAATGTGCTTAAGGTAAAAAAAAAAGTGCTGTACTTAAATGTGAAGTATTAACATATCGTAGCCAATTCATCAACACCTGAAAATGTTGCCTGGACCTCAGAAATATAGGCCATATAATGAATATTATTATATTCATATTCATATATAAGTCATTTTTGATAAATTTAGAAATATATGTAGCATTTATTCATTTTCTTGTTGGCTTAGTCCCTATATTAATCCGGGGTCGCCACAGCGGAATGAACCGCCAACTTATCCAGCAAGTTTTTACGCAGCGGATGCCCTTCCAGCCGCAACCCATCTCTGGGAAACATCCACACACACACTACAGACAATTTAGCCTACCCAATTCACCTGTACCACATGTCTTCGAACTGTGGGGGAAACCGGAGCACCCTGAGGAAACCCACGCGAAGGCAGGGAGAACATGCAAACTCCACACAGAAACGCCAACTGAGCCGAGGTTCGAACCAGCGACCTTCTTGCTGTGAGGCGACAGCACTACCTACTGCGCCACTGCCTCGCCATGTAGCATTTACATGTCACCACGTACCACTAATTACACGTACCACAGTTTGAGAACCACTGCCCTAGAGTAATTTAGAGTTAAACAGTTACATTTGTACCTTCTTTTAATTCATTCAGCTGATCTCCGGGTCTGGTGGGAACACTTTAAGCTTAGCTTAGCACAGATCATTGAATCGGATTAGACCGTTAGCATCTCACAGATTTCCTCTAGGGGAGTTGTAAAAATGTACAAAAGTTTTTTGCAGTTCGTAATGTAGCTATCCTGCAGTGGAAATAGTCTGCTAAGTTGTTCATCAAAAAGGTTATTTATGAAATATGGTGTTATTTATTTGAAATGTTTTTTTTTATACACACACTTTTGAAGTTGTAAGGTTTTAAACAAAATTAAAAACTCCTCTTTGACTCAAGTTTAAAGAATTAAGAACATTCAATATCTATTGTATCTGTGCTGATTTCTGGATTTTTAGTATTTCAGTATTAAATTACTTATTGAGTTACTAAGTTACTATTCTGACAAAGTAATTAGAAACATAATTTTAATACAGTTGTAATTTCTGCAGGGAAAATAAGTATTGAACACGTCACTATTTTTCTCAGAAAACATATTTCTAAAGGTGCTGCTGACTTGAAGTTTCCCCCTGATGTTGAAAAACCCAAAGAAATCCATATAAGCAAAGAAAACAAGTTTAATGACACATGGAAGAAGTATTGAACACATGATGAAAGGGAGGTGTAGTTCGGCAGGGAAAGCCCAGACAGCAGCTGAAATCTCTCAGTAGTTCTTCAACACCCCTCTGATCTTCCTCAGTGCAAATGAATATCAGCTGCTTCAGTTCGACATCCACATTAGTAGATGATGAAGATGAATCCAGGGTGGACATTTCAGCAAGACAATGGTCAAAACACAACCAAGGAGACTCTCAAATGCTTTCAGAGAAAGAAAATCAAGCTGTAGAATGGCCCAGCCAATCACCTGAGCTGAATCCGATAGAAAATACAAAATAAAGCTCAAATTTGATAGACGAGACCCACAGAAGCATCAAGATTTTTACAATCAAGCCTCTGTTGTAATGTGTGTGTGTCGTTGATGTGTTGGGCAGGTATTGGCGCAGACGGCTGGGGATGCAGGTGGATTATGCTGAATATGAAGGTTATCGATTCTGTTACTCTCACAGAGGAAATCCAGGCTTTCGTCCATCTGTTTTAATGCTGCACGGCTTTTCTGCACACAAAGACATGTGGCTCGGGGTGGTGAAGGCAAGTAACATACACTTCACAACTCAAATACAGTCATGGGATTAACTGTTTCACCAACAACACATCTCAAGACCCAAGCTGTGAAAAAGTTGTCAGAATGCATTAACGTAAGAGGTTAATGCAACTCTCATAAAGGATTATGATTTATGGAAATATATGCAAATTACATATATGACATTTATTTAACTTTATTTCAGAGTAAAGGATAATATTTTTTCAACCATTGGATTTACAAATATGTACATGTACGCTCAATTATATTAACTATAATGTTATATATGTGTTAATATATGCCATTTATATACACTACCTGACAAAATTTTTGCGGTCGATCGTAGTTGTAAGCGCAACAAATAATAACTTGACTTCTAGTTGATCATTTGGAAAAGTGTTAGAAGGTCAATTTTTCTGATGAATCATCTGTTGAGCTGCATCCCAATCATCACAAATACTGCTTAAGAGCTATTGGAACCCACATGGACCCAAGATTCTTACAGAGATCAGTCAAGTTTGGTGAAGAAAAAATCATGGTTTGGCGTTACATTTAGTATGTGCGAGAGATCTGCAACATCAACAGCCTGAAGTATCAAGACATTTGTGCAAACCACAGGAGAGGGCAATTCTTCAGCAGGATAGCGCTCCTTCTCATACTTCAGCCTCCATATCACAGTTCCTGAAAGCAAAGAAGGTTAAGGTGCTCCAGGATTGGCCAGCCCAGTCACCAGACATGAACATTATTGAGCATGTCTGGGGTAAGATGAAGGAGGAGGCATTGAAGATGAATCCAAAGACTCTTGATGAGCTCTGGGAGTCCTGCAGGAACGCTTTCTTCGCCATTCCAGATGACTTTATTAATCAGTGATTTGAGTCATGTCAGAGATGTATGGATGCAGTCCTCCAAGCTCATGATGGAGTCAGACACAATATTCATTCTGTCTCCACTGCAGCAGGACTTTATATTCTATACTGGACATTATTTCTGTTCAGTCACAAGACTTTTGTCTAAGCAAATTCAAACCTCACTGTCCTAATTAAATCGTTAAAAATCAAGGCATGATCATATTTCATATTGGTCAAATAATCTAGAGGCCTTTGCCTTTCATATAACCCCCTTCTGATACCAAATAATAAACTAGAATTCAAGTTATTATTTGTTGTTTCTAAAATTTGGATAGGCGACAAGACTTTTGACAGGGAGTGTATTTCCAATTTATATATAATTATATCTAATATATATATATATATATATATATATATATATATATATATATATATATATATATAGTTTCAATGATATATGAAAAAATATATGAAATAGCCATTTTTGCAATATTTTAAAATATATGTTGCTAATATGATATGTATTTATATGTTTTTTTATATTTATATGTGAAAATTATGTACAAATGTGGTTTGTCATATATGTAATCTTGCATCTATTTCCATGTATCAGATTTCTATCTGGGATGTATTGAAATTAAAACCCAAGAGTGTTTTTAAACCTTTATTTAAGTGTATTTCATTTAAATCATTTCAAATGAAAGGAATGATGTCTGATTGTGCTTGTTTTTCTTGTGTAGTTTCTCCCTAAAAATGTGCACTTGATATGTGTGGACATGCCGGGACATGAAGGTACATCACGCACCAGCGCTGTGGATTATTCCATAGAGGGCCAAGTCAAACGCATTAATCAGGTGGGGTTTGCTGAAATTGCCTGGAAAAAAGTGTTAGTTCAATTCAGTGATTAATTGACTGTAAAAAGTAATACTTATGAATATACAAATAAAAGCAAACGAAAACAAACGAAAACAAGTGGGATTTTATGAAATAAAAAATATTAGTAAAAATTTCTGCTTTTTGATTAAAGCTGGAATTAAATTTATTATTGTTTTATTGTAGGTTACATAGTTTAATATACATAAAAATTATAATAAAAAAACACACATCAAGCCATGAGAACCGAACCGAAAACTCTGTAAAAAAAAAATGGGGTATGTATTGAACCGTAGGATAACTGTATCGTTGCATCCCTAATTTTTATATATATATAAGTAAGGTCTGACTCTGCTATATATATATATATCTATATGTGGTGTTGATATATATGTATATATATGGTGATGATATATATGTGTGTGTGTTTGTGTGTATGTGATAAGTATTATCTTTTAATATTGAGTATGTAATGAATTATTAATTAATTCATTCATTTTCTTGTCGGCTTAGACCCTTTATTAATCCGGGGTCACCACAGCAGAATGAACCACCAACTTATCTATCAAGTTTTTTACGCAGCGAATGCCTTTCCAGCTGCAACCCATCTCTGGGAAACATCCACAAACACATTCACGCACACACTCATACACTACGGACAATTTAACCTACCCAATTCACCTGTACCGCATGTCTTTGGACTGTGGGGGAAACCGGAGCACCCGGAGGAAACGCGAAGGCAGGGAGAACATGCAAACTCCACACAGAAACGCCAACTGAGCCAAGTTCGAACCAGCGACCTTCTTGCTGTGAGGCGACAGCACTACCTACTGCGCC